GGGGGGGGGGGGGGGGGGGGGGGGGGGGGGGGGGGGGGGGGGGGGGGGCAGTGAAAAGATGGCGTGTCCGCAGAGTGGCAGGGACTGGCGGAGTGCCGCAGGGCGCGAGCGGGTAAGACAAGAGGTGGTGGCCAGAGTGCCAGGTGTTGAAACGGAGACGGTTCTCAGTGCCGACAAGGTTCCCGGCGTATGATCGGGCTGAGACGGGGTGGAAGGCAAGATCACAGGTAGAGAGGCGGCCCAGGAAATGACAGAGCAGGATATTTTTTTTTATTAAATTTTTTTTAGTGTTTATTTTTGAGAGACAGAGTGCAAGCTGGGGAGGGGCAGAGAGAGGGAGATGCAGAATCCAAAGCAGGCTCCAGGCTCCGAGCTGTCAGTCAGCACAGAGCCTGACACGGGTCTCAAACCCACAAGCTGCAAGACCATGACCTGAGCAGACATCAGACGCTTAACCGACTGAGACACCCAGGTGCCCCCCGCCCTTTTTTTTTTTTGAGGTCAGGGTATGTGAAGCATCTTCTCTGAGAATCTTAAATTATCCAAGGCAGGAATGTCAGAGAAAAGTGACAGCAAGCTAGGCACTAAAACTCTTCAACAAGCGAAGGAGGGGGAATAAACTGGACAACAGCAGACGCCTGCCTGACTGTAACGGGGACAGAGGACAGTGTATTGTGACAACGTGAGATTTGAACTGGATGTCTCTTGGGGAGAATGAAAGGAACATGAGCCAAAAGCAGCAGCGCAGAACAAGGTGCTTATCCCACCGCTGGAGGCCCGAACAGCAAGAAGGTTCTGAGAGCGAGAGCAGCCTCCACTTGCCAACCTGCACAGGCCAGCCTGCAGACAAGACAGGAGGTGGAAAAGAAAGCACGGAAGCAGACAGAAGCTTCTGGTCTTGATACACACACCTTACGTGTGGCAAAGCGGTGGCTTCCGCACCAAGTGGAGACAGGAAGGGGAAGAGTAGCAGGCGAGGACCTGCAGGGGACAAACAGGCCATGAAGAGACGCCCCACGTCGCATGGCATCAGGCAACTGCAAATTTAAAACAAGATAGCACACCCCCCCCCCGGCTTCCCCCAGCATCAGGATGGCCAAAATCCAAAGCACCGGCGATATCCAATGCAGGTGAGGTTATGGAGCAAACAGGAGCATTCACTCACTGCTAGTGGGAAAGCAAACACGGTACGGCCACTTTGGAAGATGGTCTGGAAGTTTCCTCCAAAACTAAATGTGCTCTTCCCATACGAGCCAGCAGTTGTGCCTCTTGCTATTTACCCAGATGTTTTGAAAACCTGTCCACACAAAAAGCTGCACGTGAACTCTAACTGCCAGTGTGTGAAAGCAACCAAGATGTCCTTCAACAGGGGAAATGGATAAGCAAACTGTGCTACGGGCTGAATTGTGTCCCCACCCGCACAAAATTTGTACCTTGAAGCCATACCCCCAGTGTGACTATGTCCAGAGACAAGGCGGTCTTTAAGAGGTAATAAGATGAGGGGCGCCTGGGTGGCTTAGTCGGTTGAGCGTCCGACTTTCGCTTAGGTCATGATCTCGCGGTTCGTGGGTTCGAGCCCCGCGTTGGGCTCTGTGCTGACTGCCAGCTCGGAGCCTGGAGCCTGTTTCAGTCTGTGACTCACTCTCTCTCTGACCCTCCCCTGCTCACGCTGTCTCTCTCTCTCTCCTAGAAATAAAAAAAATATATAAAAAAAAAAAAGAGGTAATAAGATGAAATGACAATATAAGAGAGAAGAGCAGGGCCCTAATCTGATAGGACTGTGGCCTTCTAAAAAGAGGGAGAGAGATCCTTCCCCCCTCCCCTCTTGCCCTTCTCTCCTCCCCCCTCTCCCTCTCTCTCACCTCTCACACCCCTGCCTTGTGAGGACACAGGGAAAAGGCAGCCATCCACAAGCCAGGAAGAGAGCCCTCACCAGAGCTTGACCTTGCTGGCACCTGATCTCAGATTCCCAGCCTCCAGAACGGTCAGAAAATAAATTTCTGTTGTTTAAGCGAGCCAGTCCACAGCAGTTTGTTACAGCAGGCTGAGAGACTCATACACGGTGGTACATCCATTCACTGGAATATTAATCAGTGCTTTAAAAAAACAGCTTTCAAGTCATGAAAAATTACAGATCTTAAATGCATGTTAAGTGGAAGAAGCTACAGACTGTATGATTCCTATGACTATGACGTTCTGTCAAAGACGAAACTAGGGAGATGGTGAAAAGATCAGTGATTGCCTGGGGCTCAGGAGGCAGGGTGCAGAGAAGAGTAGGTGGACTACAGGGGATTTTTTAGGTACATGAAACTACTCTGTAGGATCCTGTACATGCACCACATCAGGCATTTGTCAAAACTCACAACATACACAACAGTGGGAATGTGAATGGAAACCACAGACTTTAGTTAATAAAACTGGATCAATACTGGCTCATCGATAATAACAAATTCGCTCCAGTAATGCAAGATGTCGCCAATATGGAAAATGGCGGTGGGGGTGTAAACAGAACTCTATGTACTACCTGCTCCAGCATTTTGTAAAAGTGAAACTATACTAAAACTATACTATACTCCAAAAAGCCTATGAAGCATTAAAAATAATTATGTGAAATTCAGACTTCATGTCAATAAAAAAAAAGTTGTGGAAACACAGTCATGCTCATCTACACGTCCAGTCTACACTGCCTGTGGCTGCTCCTGCACCGTAACACCAGAGCTGAGTAGTTGCAAGAGACCACAAGACCACAAAGACTAAAAGACTTACTATCTGGACCTTTACAGAAAATGTTTGCAAACCCCTGCTCTAAATGTCATTACCCAAGTTAAAAGGGAAATGCACATCCCACCACAGGCTGTTCCGAGCTAACCAGTTTATTTAATTACTCAAAGTTGTTAGAGTCACAAGTTCTAATCACATAATCTGAATTTTAAAATTTAACTAGCCACCTTAATAAAAAAAAATCAAATCAACCAGTGAAGTATTTGAATACTCAAAATGGCAACTCCCAGAAAAAGAATCCATATTCTACTGAAAAATGCTAGCAGACAGTAGTGTTTCACTTCGATGCCTGCAAAATCCACTCCACTTACTGAACACCTAACGAATCAGAAGTAAAGTGTTCAACTGAAAGATGGCTGTTACGGGTGTGAAAGGAGATGCCTGGGAAACAATGGGAAATGAGCACTACAGGGAACAGCAGGGCAGGATACCTGAGTTGAGTCAGTGAACCTCTACAAAGAATTGAATGCTCTATAACGACTACAAAGAATTGAATGCTCTGTAACAGAACGCGAGGAACCAGGACTCGATGTATCAGATTAATCACCAAAATGCAGGCTGGGTATCAGAAGAGAAAAGAATGCTATGAGGAAGTGACTCACAGTTATAATTTAGGAGGTATCATGAAAATACAATAGTTCGCTAGCTACGAAAAATCGTAACTACCCGATATTCCAGATTTATTAACAACTGACAGAGGGGGTGGGTCTTGGGAAGAATCAAACCTCTAGAAATAATTTAGGAAAGCATTCTGGAAGAGTGACGAAGAGCACAGGCTTTGGAGGTAAACAAACTTCCTGATCCTGCTCACGCCACTCGCTTGCTAGAACACTGAACATGCACTCTCAGCCTGTTTTTTTCATCTGTAAATAAATAATACCTCCTCCATGTGCTGTAGGGAGGATTAAAGAAAACAATGCACGTTAAGAGCCTAGCTGGACACCTGACGCAAATGAAGGGCTAGGTAAATGGTAATTATTCCTCTCACTACCATATTTGGCTCAGGAAAACACACTTGGAATTGACAGTCTAAGGTTTTTCCGGAAACTCCTAGGAAATCTACCCAAAGACCGAAACAAATCTCTCACTGTACGTAATCTAAGAAGAGTTCTGCCCTTAGAAAATCAAATGAGGACTTCGGTTCAGTAAATGCAATTGAGATTACACTCTTGCAACTGAGAATGATGGCCCAAAGGGGAAAAATGGTCAGTCTGGGTTCCCCTCGAATTCCAAAGTAGCGAAAGGCGTAAGCTCACTACACGGCCCACTCAGAGACCTACGCAATCCCACACTGTCGCTTGGAGCCAGAGAACAGCATTAGTATCATGTCCCTCAACGAAGAGAAGAAAAAAAGTTTTCTCTAAACACCTAGATGACAAAGTTTCCCCCACTGTCATTCCCACTGCATTCCATTCCACCCTTCCTAATCTTAACAAAACCCAACAAAAATATACGAAACAATTTTTTTTTTTTGAGCTGTTTCTGAAGGGCAGTCAGAATTACATCCGTTTGTAAGTGTTAGGTCTAGGTAGTCAGAGACCCAAGGTCAGGTGCTTTGGTCCTCTGCCAAGATGGACATCAGTCTAGACCTACGATGGCAGCTGCGACATGAAGATCTTTGTAGACATTTCCCAGTCTGTCACACAAACACGGACAGGCACATTCCACGGCAATCACCGCCCACACCCCACGCTGAGAAAACAGCTTACGGGCCTTTTTGGCGGTCACGGCCATCCCGCCCTCCGCTTCTTACCGACGCCCTTCTCGCTCCCACATCAGGACCCCCTGGTACTTTCCCAGCGCAGATGGTGAAACACGGTACTAATTCCCATCAGGCGACATCTTAACGCTCGCGGTTGCCAGGGCAGAAACCGACCGGTTCTGCTAGACTTTTCCAGGCAGGACCACGGACGGAAGCGAGGAGGCAGCGCCGGCTCCCGGGCAGGCTTCGCCCGCACCTGTCTCCACAAGTGGGCGGAAGGAGGGAGGAAGAACCCCGCGGCCAGCGCTGGCACGTTCTCGGCCGCCACTCACCCCAGTCCTCGTCGGCTCGGTGACAAAGGCCCGGGCTCAGAGGCGACTCCATGGTGCCGGCAACGCCAGCCGGCTCCCGCACACCCCACGCTCCCGCGGCCTGGAACTCGGTGACTAATAACTCGGACGGCGGCGGCCGGCGGACAAAATACTCCCCACCGGCGCGGGGACGGTGGCCGAGTGAAGACAAACTTGCTCCCGCCGCCCCCGGGGAGCTCGCGCAATTCAGGAAGGAGGAACGTCAGAGACCCAGCGCGCTTTAAACACGTCTCAGAGTAACTTATTTCCCTTGGGGAGTTTTCCGCACTTTCTGTCTCGCTGTTTTAAGGGGGGAAAAAAGAAAAAGGAAGACACGTAAACCCTACGTTCGTTAACTAAAATGTATTGATAATACTAAAAGCCCTTCCTGAATAGACCGGCCTGTTCCTTGAATATCATTGTTAATACCACTGCGTAGTGGTCAGAGACCAATACAGAACATTTGATTTCATTTTTTGCAATCGCTTGCCGTCATTGTAAAAATTTTCCGTACACGCAACTGTGTGAAAGAAAACCTCAGCTATTGTGCGGCGTTCGTTAGACCCGCCTCTTCGCAGGCAAGGTACCTGCGGTGAACAGCACGGTCCATCGTACTTCCAGAAAACCCGCTTTTATTTAAACAAATGTAAGCAAGGCAGGTAGAAAAGAGGAAACTCCTCGTGCTCAAATCTGTCTCCTAGCTATGCATTTCTAACGCATCGTACTTAGTCGTGGAACCCCGAGCGAGTTTACCCTACAACCTACAATAACGGAGATTCCCAATCTCTTCGTTGCTGAAACTCAAGATTGGGTTTTGTTTACAAGAAATTCGCATCACGAACTCCCACTGGAAATTGGAATTGAGTTTGACAGAACAAGTTCAAGAACGCTCCGTAGTAGGACGCCCTCTTAGCATTTCAGCGGCGAGTGTTTCAAATACCCTAAGAACACGTATCCCTCTGGGACCACGTGGAATCTTTCCCATGGTTACGAAACCAAACAAACGCTTCCCAGAATCCAGCGAACTCCTCGTGGCTGCGGGGTTACTACCGATTGCATAATCCACAGTATTCAGTATAGTCCTGCGACCCAAAACCGGAAAAAAATATCCCGAAATGATTCCTTTTATCATCAGGGAACTAACCAGTTTTCATGTAAGCTGAAATATATATCACTTCTGTTCAAAAACTGACCAAAGGGGGGAAAAAATAAAAAACTAAAAACCATCAAGAGTCTTCTGCATCCACCCAGACACCTTAGTCTTCTTTTTTAATCACCACGAATGAACTTCGGCCATTTTTTTCCGAAATTTTTATTTTTATCCAAAGAGCACAGATAACTAGGAAACAAGCATTTGCGTCGCTATCATCAAAATTGAACGAATATTAACATTTTCCATTTTTCTTTCAGATTTTTCATAATATAAGAAATCAAGCATTACAGATAAAGCCCAGCTCTGCTTTTTCTCCTGCTTCCTCTCTCCACACAGACAACTTCTATTATGAATTTTATGGAAATTATTTAAGTCCATTTTTATTTTTACTTATGTCATGTTTAAATACGTTTATAGATACATATATTTAGTGTGGTGTTGGGTTTTTAAATTTACATAAATGCGTCATACTCCTGTTCTCCAAATCACTTTTTTTTTTTAATTTTTTAAATGTTTATTTCTTTTTGAGACAGAGACAGAGCATGAGCAAGGGAGGGGCAGAGGGAGAGTGAGACACAGAATCCGAAGCAGCTCCAGGCTCTGAGCTGTCAGCACAGAGCTCGATTTGGGGCGGGGCTCGAACCCATGAACAGTGAGATAGTGACCTGAGCCGAAGTCGGATGCTCAACTGACTGAGCCACTCAGGCGCCCCATCCCAAATCACTTTTCTTATTCAACATTACTTTTTGATGATCTATACATGTTTTAACTGTTACATGATATTTCCTCGAAAAAAATATACTATCACAATTTCGTTTTTCATTTCTCTACTAATGGACATTTGAATTGTTTTAAATTTTTGCTGTTACATATATCCTTATATGAGTCTCTTTTTGCATACATACAAAAATGTCTTTAAGATACACACGGGGTCACAGTAGAAATGTTAATATCTGCCAAATTATACTAATTTACACCCTTGCTACCCGTGATGAGTTCTTTGCTCCACATTCTCACCAACACTAGATATGGTCACTGTCACATTTTTTTGCCCCTGTGAAGGGTGTGACTATAATTTACATTTCCCTGATAATTAAAGATGTGATGCATCTTTTCACGTTTATTTTTTTTTATTTTAAATATTTTTATTTATTTCTAGGAGAGAGAGAGAGAGCGTGAGCAGGGGAGGGTCAGAGAGAGAGGGAGACACAGAATCCGAAGGAGGCTCCAGGCTCTGAGCTGGCAGTCAGCACAGAGCCCAACACGGGGCTCGAACCCACGAACCGCGAGATCATGACCTAAGCGAAAGTCAGACCCTTCACCGATGAAGCCACCCAGGCACCCCTCTTTTCACGTTTATTAAACCTTATTTCCTCTTCTGTGAATTGCCTATTCTTATAAAATTTGCTATTATATTTTCTTTCTCTCAATGGTATGTACATCTTTAGCTAGCCTACTCTTCATTTAACTGGTATATATGTTGCAAATACCTTCTCTTAAGTTGCACTTGTCTTTTGTTAATGGAGTTTTTGTCTTTTAGGTTTCAATTTCAATGTAGTCAAATTTACCAATCTTCTGTTTATGGTCTATGCTATTTGTAACTTACTTAAGAAATCGTTCCCTCTCTGAAGTCACAGAGATTTTTTTTAAATTTTCCTTCCATAGTTTTATAGTTTTTGTTTTTCACATTCTTCTTTTTCCCCTTTATTTGGTTATTGCTGGGGTATAGTGACACTATTGATTTTTATACAGCAATCCTGTATCCAAAAACCTTGCTAAATGGGGCTCCTGGGTGGCTCAGTCAGTTAAGCATCCAACATCAGCTCAGGGTCATGATTTCACAGCTCACAAGTTCAAGCCCTGCATCAGACTCTGTGCTGACAGCTTGGAGCCTGGAGCCTGCTTCAGATTCTGTGTTTCTCTCTCTACCCTCCCCTACTTGTGCTCTGTCTCTGTCTCTCTCTCAAATAAATAAATAAATAATAAACATTAAAAAATTCAAAAACTACTGAATTGACTGTTAATATTTTGTCTGTAAATTCCTACGATTTTCTACGTAGAGAAGCTTGTGTGCAAATACTAACATTTAAAATTTTGGTTTAACATTGTAAACTTTTTAAAATTTATTTATTTTGAGTGAGAGAGAGCATGTGTGAGCAGGCGCAGAGGGGCAGAGGGAGAGAGAGAGAGAGAGAGAGAGAATCCCAAGCCGGCTCCATGCCCAGTGCGGAGCCCTACACAGGGCTTGATCCTCACTCTCAAGAACCACAGGTCATGGGCTACCTGGGTAGCTCAGTTGGTTAAGCAGCTGACTTCAGGTCAGGTCATGATCTCACAGATCGTGCATTGGAGCCCCCCGTTGGGCTCTGTGCTGACAGCTCAGCCTGCTTTGGATTCTGTCTTTCCCTCTCTCTCTACCCCTCAGATCGTACTCTGTCTCTGTCTCTCTCAAAAATAAAATTTAAAATGTTAAAAAAAAAACAAACAAACATGAGGTTATGACCTGAGCAGAAATCAAGAGTCAGACACTTAACCAACTGAGCCACCCCCAGAAAACTGGATATTATAAGACTGGTAAAGTTTGCCAATCTGTGAGATGAAAAATAGATATTTTTTAAATTAAAAAAATTTTTAATGTTTTTCTTTATTTGTATGAGAGAGAGAGTGCCCTTTTATAAAGTGTTATTTTTTTTCAAATGTTTATTTATTTTTGAGAGAGAAAGAGAGAGAGTAGGGGAGGAGCAGAGAGAGAGGGAGACAGAATCTGAAGCTGGCTCCATGCTGAGAGCAGAGAACCCGATACAAGGCTCCAACTCCTGACTCATGAGATCAGGACCAGAGTTGAAGTCTGACACCTAATCAACTGAGCCACCCACACATCCCTTAAATTGACGTTTATTTACTTTTTTAAATGTTTTATTTATTTCTGAGAGAGAGAGAGGCAGCGTGAGCAGGGAAGGGTCAGAGAGAGAGAGAGAGGGAGTCACAGACTGAAACAGGCTCCAGGCTCTGAGCTAGCTGTCAGCATAGAGCCCGACTCGGCGCTCAAACTCACAAACTGTGAGATCATGACCTGAGCTGAAGCTGGACGCTCAACTGACTGAGCCACCCAGGCGCCCCAATTCACTGGTTTTTAACATGTTCACAGAATTTTTGCAACATCGTCACTTTCATCATTCCCAGAATAAACCCTTTGCCCGTTAGCAGTCACTTCCCGTTCCTGGTGGTATCACTTGCAGCGCTAGAGGTTTTAACTGTAAGGTCCACTCTCTCTGCTTTTCTTCTTTTGTGGCTTGTGCTTTTTGCTTGCTGCTCTTACTTTACCTGGACTACATGCAAGTCCAAGGCAATTCTGTGGGAGATTCTAGATCATATTGTGCACACCGCTCTGTATACTTATTTGAATCTTCCTGTAGACCTAAACGTGGGGTCCCTTGCTTGTGGGGTGTGTACATCTTAAATACTGCTGACGTTCTAGGTTGACATCTGAATGCTCACACAAATCTGCTTCTTGCTGGCACTGAACACCTGTACCCATTTCCCATACCCCCGGAAAACTGGATATTATAAGACTGGTAAAGTTTGCCAGTCTGTGAGATGAAAAGTAGATTATTTTTTAAATTAAAAAAAATTTTTTAATGTTTTTATTTATTTGTGTGTGAGAGAGAGAGAGAGCATGAGCAGGGGAGAGGCAGAGAGAGAGGGAGACACAGAATCTGAAACAGCCTCCAGGCTCTGAGCTGTCAGCACAGAGCCCGACCCAGGGCTCGAAGCCACAAACCTTGAGATCATGACCTAAGCTGAAGTCGGAGGCTCAACTGAATGAGCCACCCAGGCGCCCCTTATACTGACCTTTAATGTGGAAAATTTCAAACACAAAGACAAGCTAATGAAGACTCGGTTCTTAGCCCCCAGCTTCAACTATCTCCCTTTCTTGTTTTATCTACCCTCTCTCCCCGCAACACCTACTTTTTGTTTTGCTTTGTTTCTTCCCTGGGGGTGTTTTAAAGAAAATCTCAGCTATTGAGTTATTTCACCTATAAATACTTAATATGTATCCGCACAAGGCTTTTTTCACATTTTTAAAAACGTAACTACAATACCGTTATGATTCCCACCAAAATCAAAAATTCCCTAATATTATCTAATACCGGTTCCAGGTTCAGCCTTTCCACAGTTGGTTTGTTCAAATCAGAGTCACTAGGTTGCATTTTGTTCATAGGACAGTCCCCTCTCCTTCTTGTCACCCCATGTCATTTGTCCTGTAGAATTTCCCATTTTGTGATTCTGTTTGTATCTTCCTGGTGATTGGTAAACTGCCAGTTAAATGTCCACTTGATTAGCTGGTTTGTATTTCCTGTTTCGTTTGTGCAGGAATACTTCATAAGACATCATACCAGGAGGCACATAATTCCTAATTATTCACTTTTTGAAATATCAAGATTTATCAGTGAGTTCTGGTTTTTTCCTACGTCTTAAGCCTATTTCCTCTCTTAATTTTATCACAATGGCAAGGACTTCTAGCACCACACTGAAGGCAGATGCACGACTATTCATCTTTTAGCTTGTTCCCAACTCTAATGTGCAAGTTTTAAAAAGCTTTATTTGTGATAAGATTTTTCCTGCAGTTTCTTTAACTTTTTTTACATTTATTTATTTTTTTAAATGTTTTTTATTTATTTCTAGGAGAGAGAGAGACAGCGTGAGCAGGGGAGGGTCAGAGAGAGAGGGAGTCACAGACCGAAACAGGCTCCAGGCTCTGAGCTGGCAGTCAGCACAGAGCCCGACGCGGGGCTCGAACCCATGAACCACGAGATCATGACCTGAGGGAAAGTCGGACGCTTAACCGACTAAGCCACCCAGGCGCCCCTACATCTATTTTTGAGAGACAGAGAGAGGCAGAGCACAAGTAGGGGAGGGGCAGAGAGAATGAGACACAGAATCTGAAGGAAGCTCCAGGCTCCGAGCTGTCAGCAGAGAGCTGACGCGGGGCTCAAAACCACGAACCGTGAGATCATGACCTGAGCTGAAGTCAGATGCTCAACCAGATGACCCACCCAGGCAGCCCCTGTAGTTTCTTAATACAAGGAAAATTTATTTTCATTTTTCATTAAGAATTTCACTGTGCTTAGGGTTTTTTATACACACACTGATTATATGCTCCTTCCATTTTAGTAATAACTCCTTCATGGTTAACTATGCTTTAATGATAAATGTTTAATGTTATCACACCCTTTTTATTTGTTTTCAAGTCAAACCCTTGGAAGAGAAATGAAATTTTCAAGTTTTGTCTAGGGGCACCTGGGTGACTCAATTGAGTGTCCAACTTCGGCTCGGGTCATTATCTTGCAGTCCATGGGTTCGAGCCCCGCGTCAGGCTCTGTGCTGACAGCTCAGAGCCTGGAGCCGACTTTGGATTCTGTGTTTCCCTCACTCTCTGTCCCTCCCCTGTTCATGCTGTCTCTCTCTCAGAAATCAATATTTTTTTTAAAATGAAAGAGTTTTGCCATTGAAAGAGACATAAAGGAGACCCTTGCCCAGATCCGTACTCTTGAGGACTCCATTCTGACACCTGGCAGCGTCTGTCCCCACAGGGGGAAGGATCCGTGGTGCCAAGGCGATACACCCAACCAGAGCACGTGCCTCGGAGACTCACTTCTTATGCCCAAATAGTTGCACACCTGCTTCGGAAGCTTGCTTAGGTCTCTGACTCCGAAGGGCGAGCTGTGCCAGTGCTGTATGGCAGGGTGTAAACAGAGCTCAGAAATGTGAGGCAGGAAGTCCGCCATCTGCACATGCCCAGGGGCATATAAACAAACGCAGGGGTGGGGAAGGGGGGAGTCTGTAGGGCAGTGGCCAACTCTCCTGCACGGTCCTGTTTTGTCACGGAACTCCAGAACGTCGGAGAATTCTAAACTCAAACCTTGGCTTCCAGTTCCTTATGAAGGCATGTTTGTCAAGATAAGAAAATAATTCATTTTGGTGACTTGATTTCTAACTTTCAAAAACTAAGACAAACAGTATGTGGACCTCAATTTGCACTCATCATCAGAATTCTGCAAATGTTGATGGGGCACCTGACCAGCAAATGTACAACTTGCTTAAAAATTGCATTTCATCAGTGCTGTATTTTACACTCTGATATTTTCATTATGACATCTTCTAGATCACCCTAAACAGAAAATCCAAACAGAATAGAGGTTAAAAGCTCAGATTTCAGGGACATACGGGTGGCTCAGCGGGTTGGGCATCCAATTTCAGCTAAGGTCATGATCTCGCGGCTTGTGGGTTCAAGCCCGCGTCGGGCTCTGTGCCAACAGCTCGGAGCCTGGAGCCTGCTTCGGATTCTGTGTCTCCCTCTCTCTCTGCCCCTCCCCAACTCATGTTCTGTTTCTCTCAAAAATACATAAACATTTAAAAAAATTTTTTAGGGGCGCCTGGGTGGCTTAGTCGGTTGAGCGTCCAACTTTCGCTTAGGTCATGATCTCGCGGTTCGTGTGTTCGGGCCCCGCGTCGGGCTCTGTGCTGACTGCCAGCTCAGAGCTTGGAGCCTATTTCAGAGTCTGTGTCTCCCTCTCTCTCTGACCCTCCCCTGCTCACGCTGTCTCTCTCTCTCCCTCTCCTAGAAATAAATAAAAATATTAAAAAAAAAATTTTTTTTTAAAAAGCTCAGATTTTGGATTAAGCCAAATCTTGATTCTAATCTAGGTTCAACTATTTTCTAGCAGTGTAACTTTGATGAAGTGTCTTAATCTTTCTGAGCCTCAATCGTACCTATAAAATGGGAATCACAAGATCTGTCTCATAAGATTTTAAGGAGGATTAAATTAGATAATACACACTAAATGATTAGCCCATGGTAAATTTACAAAACATTGCAGCTATTTTAAGGAGCAATGTTGAATGCTACTAGCTAGACACTGCCATTCTATCACAAAAATCCCCATAAAAACCCAGACTGAATACTATCATCTCTCCATTTTATACAAGGAATTAAAACTTAGGCAAATGACTTTTAAAATAATGTGTTTTTTTTTTAATTTCTGAGAGAGAGAGAGAGAGAGAGAGAGAGAGAGGGGCAGCATGAGCAGGGGAGGGTCAGAGAGAGAGGGAGACACAGAATCTGAAACAGGCTCCAGGCTCTGAAATGTCAGCACTGAGCCCGACGTGGGGCTCGAACCCACGAACCGTGAGATCATGACCTGAGCCAAAGTCAGACGCTTAACTGACTGAGCCACCCAGGCGCCCCTAAAATAATGCTTTTAAGGAAGGCGGAGCATATATTATTCCCATTTCATGAAAGAGAAAATGGACAACTTTCAAAAGACCTTCCAAAGGGGCACCTGGGTGGCCAGTCAGTTAAGCGTCTGGCTCCCAGTTTCGGCTCAGGATGTGATCTCCGAGTTTGGGACTTCCAGCTTCACAGAGTTCAAGCCTGCTTGGGATTCTCTCTCTACCCCCTGCTTGGGTCGCTCTCTCAAAATAAATTAAAAATAATTTTTAATCAAAATAAATAAACTTAAAAAAAATAAACTTAAAAAAACCCAAAGCCCTTCCAGGCAGCTGGGGACAGGTAAAACCAGAATGATCAGAGCCCACTCTGGCTACTTCAGTACTATTTTAACTGCACTGGTAACAGCGCTGTGAAATAAAGCTGAAGTTGCTATTATCTACAAACACGTAAAGCCACATGTTGTAAATGGATACTCTTAAGTATTAAAAAGGATTCTGTTTGTTCTGGAGAATAAAGGCCAAATGGATTTTCTATTTACCCAAAAGTAAAACATTAACGGACTCTACACTGGAAACGTTTGCTGAGTGGATGTTCCACAAAACTTCAAAATTTACATAAAATCAATTCTCCCCCAAACCCATTTCCCACTGGCAAATCCCAATTATCTTTCAAAAAGGCTATTCTGTCTCTCTCTCCTGGCTGGAACATAAACTGCAAGACGACGAGTTGTATCTTGTGTGTTCAGTACATCATCCAGAACTGTGCACACAATAGGCGCCCAGTAAATACTTACTGAATTGAAGACTGCAAATCCAAATAAAATATATGCAACTTTCCCCGTGCTAGATGCTACAGTGTGTGATAGGTATCAACTCAAGCCTTACAAAATTCTCACTACTTGTTACCTGCAAAAGGCACAATTCATATGATTCAACCTAATAGTTTTTAAAGTTTTCTAGAGTATATTATGAAGCAAAGTGAACAGAAAATACAAAAAATTAGATAGAAACAGAGAAAATTTTTCTTGTAAGAAAAAATTATATTATAAAAGTTACCAAAGGCTTCAAGTTCTATGTTAAGCTATTCTCATGAAGTGCTCCTAACACCCAACATTTCAAAAGTTAAACAAGGAGGGGCAGCTGGCTGGCTCAGTTGGTCGAGCGTCCAAATCTTGATTTCAGCTCAGGTCGTGATCTCACCTGAAATCAGGTCATCATTTCAGCTGATGTTCGTGGGTTCGAGCCCCATATCAGACTCTGTCCTGACAGCACAGAGCCTGGAGCCTGCTTTGGATTCTGTTCCTCCCTCTTTCTCTCCCCCTCCCCTGCTTGCTCTCTCTCTCTCGCTCTCAAAGATAAATAAGACATTAAAAAAAAAAGAGAAGTTTTTAGAAAAGCATGAGAAGTATGTTCCAAAATATATACAAACAAATCTGCTTTGCATTTCTAGAAATAAAAGAAAATCTTATTAAACACAATAATTTCTAATATTTGTACATAATTTTGTCCATTAAGACTTTAAGATCATGTAACATTCCAAAATTCAGAACTCTTTAAAATACATGAAACAAAGAAAGAATCTGGGTTATACAAAATTTTAATATCAAATAAAGTATAATTTACATGATTACAAGTTTTGATTTCCATATAAAGTATTCCACTTAAATAGTAAAAGACACTAACGCACCACAGTTTCCAAGTCCCATTAAATGAAAGGTTGAAGGTCTAAAAACTAGACAACCTGCCATGAATGACCATAAGCAAGTGACGCACGCGTCGGCAAGTTTCTTCCCAGGCTCTCAAAGGCGACACAAGCTCATACTTTTCTTGCCTGTGGCCCCCAAACCGGCAGCGTCTTCATCTCATCCACTCTGTTCTTATGCACTTGAAAGGCAGGTGTTACCCATCTACCGCAGGAGCACTGCTCACCATACCAGTTGAAAGAACCCAACTTGGCATTGCATTTGGGGCAAAGAAGCTGAAATAAAGTAAAGCAACCTTGTTACTTCATTCATGCACCTGCCTACAAAACAAATAATTCTCACTGGCAACAGCTGCCATAAAGCAGGTTAAGACAGAGCCCCTGGCTCCAGGAGTCTGTGATCTAATCAGCGAGGTGCAACGCGACGGCAATTTACTGTAACAGACGGTGGACTACGATCATTGTGCAGGAAGCATGCTGCGTCCTGGGAGCTTGGCACAGGCCCAGGGCAATCCCAGCGTGAGGGGAGGGAGGTAAAGGCTGAGATATGAAACTCAAGGCTGCAGGACGTGGCATGTGTTGGCTTTTAAATCACTCTGTGGTTTAATGTTTCAAACTGAGATCATCACACTAAAAAACAGGAAAGCATGTTAGGAGTCTCGTGTTCTACTGCTGATACTGACAGCAGGGAAGTTGGGTCTCAGATTCCTGGCTCTTTTAAAACAAAACAAACAAACAGGGTCCCTGGGTGGCTCAGTCGGTGAAGCATCAGACTCCTGATTTCGGCTGAGGTCATGATCTCCCCGGGGTTCATGAGATAGAGCCCCATGGTCGGGCTCCAGCTGTCAGCGCAGGATTCTCTCTCTCCTTCTCTCTCTGTCCTTCTCCCTTGCTCATGCTCTCTCTTTCTCAAAATAAAGAAATAAACACTTTAAAAACAATAATAAAGGGATGCCTGGGTGGCTCACTTGGTTGAGCGCTCAATTTCGGTTCAGGTCATGATCTTGCAGTTTGTGAGTTTGAGCCCCTCATCGGGCTCACTGCTGTCAGCACAGAGCCTGCTTCAGATTCTCTGTCACCCTCTCTCTTTGCCCCTCTCTGTCTCTCTCTCAAAAATAAATTTAAAAAAAAACATTAAAAAAATACAATAATAAAAACTGATTCTCCCGTAAAATAGATTAAGTCAAAAAGAAGCTGAACAAAGTCTATTATATTTTATTCTGATGTATTTAAAGCATGATTTTTTAAGTTTGACTCTTTATTTTGCACATGACATGAGGTAGGGACTTTTATTTTTAATTTTAAATGATATAAGCTCTGGACATAAAACTCAAGCCAGATTTGATTACAGAAGTATCTTAAATTTTAATATGACAAAATATCCCACAAGGTTGAGATAAGCAACAGACTGGAGAAAATATCTGTAATATATTACAGGAATCATTAACACCTAGACTATACAAAGAGCTCCTAATCAACAGGAAAAAGGCCAAATCCATAGAGAAATGGATGTAAAGGAAATTTATTGAAAAAGGAGTCATAAACAGCTGATAAGTATATAACAATGTCGGTTCCCGGTAGTAGTCACGGAAATTCAAATTATAACATTTTCAGATTATTTTTCATCTCACAGAGTGCCTGGGTGGCTCAGTCAGTTAAGCATCCGACTTCAGCTCAGATCATGATCTCACGATTTGTGGGTTCAAGCCCCGTGTCGGCTCTGTGCTGACATCAGTGAGTCTGTGTCTCCCTCTCTCTCTGACCCTCCCCTGCTCACGCTGTCCCTCTCTCTCTCTCACACAAATAAAAACATTAAAAAAATTTTTTTTAATTTAAAAAATATCTATTTTTCATCTCACAGACTGGCAAACTTTACCAGTCTTATAATATCCAGTTTTCCGGGGGTATGGGGAAATGGGTACAGGTGTTCAGTGCCAGCAAGAAGCAGATTTGTGTGAGCATTCAGATGTCAACCTAGAACGTCAGCAGTATTTAAGATGTACACACCCCACAAGCAAGGGACCCCACGTTTAGGTCTACAGGAAGATTCAAATAAGTATACAGAGCGGTGTGCACAATATGATCTAGAATCTCCCACAGAATTGCCTTGGACTTGCATGTAGTCCAGGTAAAGTAAGAGCAGCAAGCAAAAAGCACAAGCCACAAAAGAAGAAAAGCAGAGAGAGTGGACCTTACAGTTAAAACCTCTAGCGCTGCAAGTGATACCACCAGGAACGGGAAGTGACTGCTAACGGGCATAGGGTTTATTCTGGGAATGATGAAAGTGACGATGTTGCAAAAATTCTGTGAACATGTTAAAAACCAGTGAATTGGGGCGCCTGGGTGGCTCAGTCAGTTGAGCGTCCAGCTTCAGCTCAGGTCATGATCTCACAGTTTGTGAGTTTGAGCGCCGAGTCGGGCTCTATGCTGACAGCTAGCTCAGAGCCTGGAGCCTGTTTCAGATTCTGTGTCTCCCTCTCTCTCTCTCTGACCCTTCCCTGCTCACGCTGCCTCTCTCTCTCTCTCTCAGAAATAAAACATTTAAAAATTAAAAAAAAAAAAAGATTAAGAATATCTTTAGGGGCGCCTGGGTGGCTCAGTTGGTTGAGTATCTGACCTTCAGCTCAGGTCTGATCTCAGCTTGTGGGTTCAAGCCCTACGTCAGGCTCTGTGCTGACAGCACAGAGCCCAGAGCCTGCTTCGGATTCTGGGTCTCCCGCTCTCTCTGCCCCTCCCCCACTCATGCACACACACTGTTCTCTCTCTTTCTCTCAAAAATGAATGAATAAACTTAAAAAAAAAAGACTATCTTTAGATTAATATTAAGTAAGCCTAAACAAGGAATGTGGCTGTCATATTTTTCATGAGCTGCATTCTTAAGAATTAATAGGAAATGAAAACAAATCTTTTAGCAAACATACAAACTGAAAGATCAGGATAAAAAGAGAGACGTTATAGAACCAACAGGAAAAAAAAGTGAGGGAAGAAAAATTTTTAATTTTTAAATCCTTGATTTGGCCTTACTTGTTATGAGGTTTGCATTTTGTTAAAACATATCCTAATTGGCTGATGCTAGTCTTCACCTTGAAAAAATATAAATAGCCTTAAAAGGCATTAACTTAGACCAACAGCTCTCAACTAGACGTGGTTCACTATTTTCGATCAGCTGGGTTTTATTTAATAAATATATTTGATAGATTCTTACCTACACTAGAAAGATATCACCTTCTTTTTTTTTTTAAGGTTTATTTTTGAGAAAGTATGTGAACAGGAGAGTGGCAGAGAGAGGGAGACACAGAATCTGAAGCAGGCTTCAGGCCCTGAGCTGTCAGCATGGAGCCTGGTGTGGGGATCGAACCCATGAACTGAGCTAAAGTCAGACACTTAACCGACTGAGCCACCCAGGCGCCCCTAGAAAGATATAATCATTATAAAGTAATTATGATGATTCAAAGTCCAAGAAAGAACAAAGTATAGACGATACAATGAAACTGCAGAAAATAAAATGTGTTCCTACCTGTCCATCCATCACGCCCAACAACGCAGATTCCATCCACTGTACAGGTTCAATGAAGTATGACGTACACTGAGCCTGATTCCCTGTGGTGAGCATCAAAGATGGCGTCACTCTCTTGTGGGGAAAGGCTATAGGAGCATTTCCTTCATTATGATCCAAAATGCTAGAACTTCGAAATAAAGATCGCCTGCAACCCCCAAACAAACAAAAGCATTAATGGCTTTCAAAAGGATGAAAGAATCGATGAAATATGCAGTATTTCTTAGACAGCAAAAATTAAAATAAAATTGATTATGCTACTCTAATTTTCAAATAACTTGATTTCTTTTCACTTTTACGAACTTACTGTCTTTTTTTTTTTTTTTAAATTTCTGAGAGAGAGAGAGAGAGGCAGCGTGAGAAGAGGAGGGTCAGAGAGAGAGAGAGACACAGAACCTGAAGCAGGCTCCAGGCTCTGAGCTGGCTGTCAGCACAGAGCCCGACACGGGGTTAAACCCACGAACCATGAGATCATGACCTGTGCCGAAGTCAGACGCTCAGCCAACTGAGCCACCCAGACACCCCAAGAACTTATTGTCTTCTTAAAAGCAGATTTGAGGGTGGTGCCTGGGTCACTTAGTTGGTTAAGCATCTGACTGTTGATTTCGGCCCAGGTCACGATCTCACAGCTGTGCAATCCAGCCTCTGGTCGGGTTCCAGGCTGAATGGGGAGCCTGCTTGGAATTTTCTTTCTCCCGTCTCTCCTGTCCCTCCCCCCACTTGCACATGTGTGTGCATGTGTGCACGCATGCACACACACCAGGGAAAGGAAGAGTGGGAGAGAATTGCAAGCAGGCTCCATACTCAGCCTGGGCTCCATCCCACAACCCTGGAATCATGACCTGACCTGAAATCAAGAGCTGGGCGCTTAACCAAGTGAACCACCCAGTGACCCCTGATTTTGAAACTTCTAGGTTGCTGAATTAAACAAATTCTCCCTATCAATTTTAAGAAAATGAAACTTTCAGTACTTTTCAGCTACTGAGACATGATAAAATCTCCAGAGAATAGAAAATATTTTACCTGCACTTTCTACATTTGTAGAGAACCTCATCTTTCAATCCTTGTGAAACTGTGGTCGGGTCAACAGCAAAGAGTTCTTGAGGTAAATTCTGTAATTCTACATGACATAATTAAAACGTATCTATTTGTTGAAGTTAATGTCAAATTAAGGCAAGAAGTGCTGATCTTAGAAATTAAAAAAGAAAAAAAAAACTTCTCCAGTGTTAAGAAGTCAGGGTGAGGTAGGAGAGCCTAGTGAAGCCCTTGGATTCTGGGACAGACTGCCCAGATTTGAACTCTCAAATCCCAGCCTACCACTTACAAACCATGTGACTTTGAACAAGTTATTTCTTGCTCAATCACAGTTTCAAAAGGAAATAACAGTACCTGTCTGAAGAGATTGCTGGAAAAGTGAGATAATGCACCTGAAGCCTTTAGTGTCAGAGGAAACAGCATCTAAAAAGGGCCCAATAAGTACTTGCAATTAGTACTTACCTGGATACTTTTCTGTAACCTTTTGTAAACGATATTGCTTATAAACTGCACTGGAAGTATCTACTTCATAGCCCATTGCCTGGTATAATTTCAGTTGCCACTCGAATCCCTCATTCATCCTGTAAGAGCAAACAAATATAAGGTAAAGTTTTCATTGCATCAGTAAAATCACATTGCAAGAGCAGAATTATTACTCTAACAAAGAACTCACTTCGCCTCTGGTTTGAGGGTCTGGAGCTCTTCATAGGCTTTTTCAAAGGTAAGCTGGTCAGTCTTCATCATAAAAGCAGTAATTATAGCCACACTTCGACTGACTCCTGCATGACTGAAAAAGAGACCTTTAAAATAAAATAGCAAATTGCAGCATTTAAAAAACAAAAAAACAGGGGCGCCTGGGTGGCTTAGTCGGTTAAGCGTCCGACTTTCGCTTAGGTCATGAACTCGCGGTTCGTGGGTTCGAGCCCCGCGTCGGGCTCTGTGCTGACTGCCAGCTCAGAGCCTGGAGCCTGTTTCAGTCTGTGACTCCCTCTCTCTCTGACCCTCCCCTGCTCACGTTGTCTCTCTCTCTCTCTCTCCTAGAAATAAATAAAACGTTTAAAAAATTAAAAAAAACAAAAACAAAAAAAAAAACCGCCCAGCTCCCTCTCAGTGGTAAAGTTCAGGTCCACTTCAGGTTGGCTTCTTCTACCCAAGGTAAACCCTTTGTCTCTGAAATACTACAGTCATACAAATGAATTATTTATTTCCTTTTTAAAAAAAAAAATTTAACTTTTATTTATTTTTGAGACACAGAGCGTGAGCAGGGGAAGGGCAGAGAGAGGGAGACACAGAATCCGAATCAGGCTCCAGGCTCTGAGCTGTCAGCACAGAGCCTAATGCTGGCGGGGCTAGAAACCCACAAACCATGAGATCATGACCTAGGCCAAAGTCAGACGCTGAACGACTGAGCCACCCAGGCACCTCTATTTATTTCCTTATTGTTTTTGAAATCTGAGCTATGTGAATGTATTACCTTTTAAAAATAATTACACTAATTTTTTAAAAAGTTATAATGGCTCTGGGGAAAAAAAAAAAAAATCCAGGCTCCTTGCCCTTGGCATTAAAGGGGCCTGGAAACCTGATCCCAGGCTTCCCTCCATTTTTACTGTTACCTTATATTCTTTGTGTAAATACTGAGAGCAAGAGCTGGCACACAGTAAAAGTGCTGGCTCAACAGACTGAAGCTCCTGTTATTACTTACACTCCAGTCCAACTAAAAAGGCCTGCTAAGAATTCCCAAACACCTATCAAGATTTTCTTTTTGGCACTGCTGCAACCTAACTCCATCTTTCCCGTGGCATGGCTTAGGGATCCCGTAAGCCCTAACCAAGTTTGCTCTCCCCATTTCTCCCCTTCATCAACCACCCTCTGCCCCCAACAAAAACACTGAAAATAATCTACTTTTCCTCTGGAGGCTGAACAACTTTAACTTTATTCACCTCTTTTAGTAAATGACTCGCATCACAGTCTGCATTACAATCATCTGGGTAGATGCCTGGCTTCTCCCGAAGGACTTGAAGCTCTTAGTGATGTGACTTTGCCATTGATCAGTCCCCCCTCCCCACCCCCCACCGCCCGCTACAAACGACTCGGGTTGGGAAGGGGGCTGCAGAATGAACCAGCATAAACAGGTATGAATCATCACAACGGGAACGAATGAGAACGAGCACGCCTTCAGGGGCCAGCCCCCCGCCCCCTCCTCTCTCCCGGACACCTGCCAGCCAAAGGAGGGAGGGAGAGGAGGTTCTGGGGTCTCAGAGCCCCTTCGCCCCCGCCCAGGATCCTCGGGGGGGGGGGGGCTGCAGGCGGGAAGCGCAGCGGGGCTGCTCGCCCCCGGGCGGGCCACTCACCAGTGCACCAACACCGCGCGGCCTACGTCGCGCGCCTGCCCGATGAAGGCCACACACCGGTCCAGATGGCTGAGCAGGTCCGTTTCGGGCTTGTCCAACGCCTGCACAAAGAGGCTCCGCAGACCCTCCAGCCCAGCGCCCGACTTGAAGTCGGGCTCCTCCGAGTCCACCGTCAGCACGGCCGTGATGCCCGCCTCCCTCAGCTGGTCCGGCTCCGCCACGGCCGCGGCTCCACCCAGGTACAGCCCCGGCCGCACCTCCAGCATCTGCGCGGCGGGGCCGGCCCGGCTCCGACCGTCCCCCGGCCGCGGGCAGCCATGCCTCCCTCCCCGAGCCTCCAACATGGCGGCGTCCAGAGGCCCAGCGGCCAGCGGCCCTACCATCGAGTAGGCGGCCGGCTAGAACGTCCTTCCTCTGGGCTGAGGCGGCCTCAGCTGCGCAGCGGCTCCCTCGGAGGACCACGGCCATGGCAGGAATGTGTACTTCTTGGGCAAGGTGATGCTGCTGCTGAGGCGGAGGGAGAAGCCTTTAAAAACCGAGTCTGGCCCCAGCTTCCCCAGCTTGGTGGTAGAGGATCCACTTCCCCACATACAGGGTTTCTCAGGCTTACAGTGTTGAGACTTTATGGAAAGGGGCAACAAGAGCAGCTGGACGCAACTTTGAAATAATGGTCCCACCAACCGAATCAACAGTCTCATTTTATCCAATTGGGGTGAAACAGTTTTTTCAACGTTTATGAAGCGTTCTGTTTGTATTTATTCTCTTATGATCAATTTTTTCCCTCTTTGTCTAGTTTTTTTTATTGTTATGTGAATCTCTTTCTTGTTGATGCATTATGTCCTATATACTTTTAAGATATTAATCCCATGTTTTTGTACATTAGTACCCTCCAACCAAAGGACACCCAGAAACCTACTCTTCTTATCATTTACATGATTACTGAAGTAGCATTTTTTTTTTATGTTTTATTTATTTCGAGGAGAGAGAGAGAGAGAGAGACAGCGTGAGCAGGGGAGGGTCAGAGAGAGAGGGAGTCACAGACTGAAACAGGCTCCAGGCTCTGAGCTGGCAGTCAGCACAGAGCCCGACGCGGGGCTCGAACCCACGAACCGCGAGATCATGACCTAAGCGAAAGTCGGACGCTTAACCGACGAAGCCACCCAGGCGCCCCTGAAGTAGCATTTTTAATTTCCTTTAATATCTTTTCTTTTTCATTCATATTTTAGTGAACTGGTGCAAAATGCCTAGTTTTCAGCCTGTTTTGATTTTTGGCATAGTCATGTCTAGCTTTTGATTTAAAGTGAGAGGCCTGTGATTCTTCCTTTCACTTGAACGTCTAGAGATCATTGTAGGGTTATTAATTGGCCTAACTGCAATATTGTTGCATCTCAAGGACAAGGAAGGTCTGAGAAAAGAGAGACAGATGTGGGGAATGACTGGTCCGTGGAGCAGTCACAACATATACCGCGTTGGGGCACCTGGGTGGCTCAGTTGGTTAAGCATCTGACTCTTGATTTAGACTCAGGTCATGATCTCATAGTATGTGAGATCTATCTCTACATCAAGCCTCACATCAGGCTCTCCTCAGAGCCTGCTTGGGATCCTGTCTCTCCCTCTCTCTCTCTCTCTCTCTCTGCCCCTCCTCCATCTCTCATTTTCTCTCTCTCCCTCAAAATAAATAAGCATTAAAAATATATATATATACACAATATATATTTTGTCATTTTACATGGGTGTGATTTGTAGCAACCCCAATTACAACAGTAACATCAAAGATCACTGATCACAGGTCACCATAGCAAATATAATAATAATAACAAATTTGAAATGTTGTGAGAATTGCCAAAATGTGACAGAGACATGGAGCAAACAAATGCTGTTGGGAAAATAGTGCCGATTTCCTTGCTTAATGCAGGGTTGCCACAAACCTTCCATGTGTAAAAAATGGAATACTTGTGAAGTATAACAAGAGTTGATGAGGGAGTGTGGGGTAAGCTGAGGGCAAAGTACGGGCTTACAGCAATCCCCCCGCAAATGGGATCTTTGTGTTATTCCCCAGTAACTTCTGGCTCCCCAAGAACAAAGAAAAGGAGTTTAAGTTCTTGCCATGGTCGTGTGGGAAACTAAGGCAAATGAAAAATTAAGTTCCTTCCTGCCTACAGCCCATTGACAAGTCCTTGAGATGGGCAGAGTGACCTCCTTCTAGGAGCTCAGCTGCCTCGATGATGACACTTTGCTGGGGACAAAAGAGAATCTTGGCTTCACATTATCCTGACGCCCCCCCCCCCCCCCCCCCCCCCCC